TTCTAGTGTGGCTCCCGAGGACGTAGGCACGTTCACCGAACCTCGTTAAATCTGGTGTTCTCTTGTTTTATTCGTTCTTTCCTGCAAGTTTTCTTTTATTTTCTATGATTTTCTTGCTTGCTTACTTTCGACACAAGATCCGAAAGGGCACGAGTTGTCGTGTGTTCAACCCCAATAACCGGTATCAGAGCTTCGTTCGACAAAGTTTGTGTGTGAAAGAGATGGCAGAAGAAAGCAAATCGAAGATTGAGAAGTTTGACAGATCAAACTTTGCCTACTGGAAGTCACAGATGGAGAACTATCTGTACCGGAAGGATCTTTACCATCCGTTGATGGGAAAAGCTAAAGGAAAGAAGAAAAAGGAATCAGACGAGGACTGAGAAATACTGGATTGGAAGGTTCTAGGGAAGATCTGGTTATCACTTGTCAAATCAGTTACCCATAACATATTGAAGGAGAAGACGACGGTGGGGCTTATGAAAGCACTCGTGAAGATGTACGAGCAACCATCAACCGCAAACAAGGTGCATCTCATCAAGACACTCTTCATCCTCAAGATGGCAGAAGGATACTCCTTCACGTTACATCTCAAAAAGTTCAACACTATCGTTAATCAACTTATCTCCGTCGACATCATCACGTTTGATGAAGAAGTGCATGCCCTATTGATTCTATCACAGTTGCCGATAGTTGGGCAGGTTGCATGACCATAATTAGTAACTCAATGGAGAAGGAAAAGTTAAAGCTGAGCGATGTTGTTAGCATGATTCTATCCGAGAAGGTTAGAAGAAAATCATCCGAATCAGAAGGTTCAGGTTCAACCCTAAATCTCGAGCAGAGAGGCCGAAGCCAGAAGAAGGGTAATCAGAATAGGAATCGGTCGAAGTCAAAGAAGAAGGGGTCGGACTCGAAGGTGAGGCTTATCAAATGGAAGTGTTGGAACGACGGCTAGGAGGACCATATGTCTTCAGTCTGCAAAGCACCAAAAAAGGATACGCATGAGCAGGAGGCTCATATCGTGCAAGATGTCTTGATCCTTGCTATGGACAACAATTACGATTCATGGGTTATTAATTCGGGAGCCTCATTCCACGCCATTGCTAATAGGAAGCTTCTTCAGAATTATATAGAAAGGGACTTTGGGAAAGTATACTTGGGGATAACAAGCCTTGCAGTATTGTTGGAAGAGGTGATGTATAGATTTAGATGAAGGAGTCTAAGCAAAATCTGAAGAATGTCAGACATGTACCGAAGCTGAAGAGAAATCTTGTTTCAGTTGGCCAACTTAGAGTAAAATGCTATGTTTCAACATTTACCGGAGATTCATAGAAGATCTCTAATAGTACTATGGTGGTTGCGCGCGACAACAAAATAGGAACTCTCTACCTTACTTCATATGCGAGTGACACCCTTGCAATTACAGCTGGCAAGGAAAATACAGATCTATGATAGAATAGGTTGGGACACATGAGCGAGAAGGGTATGAAAATTCTACACTCTCAAGGAAATCTATCCGGCATCAATTCAGTTGAAGTTGATGTTCGCGAGGATTACATCTATGGGAAGCAGAAGAGGGTCAGCTTTTAGAAGAGTGGAAGACCACCTAAAGCTCAAAAGCTAGAGCTTGTTCATACAGATATTTGGGGTCTAGCTAGCGTGTCTTCTCTTAACGGCTCGACATATTATGTCATCTTTATCAACGATCACTCGAGGAAGGTGTGTGTATACTTCATGAAGCATAAGTCAGAGGTGTTTGAGATTTTCGAGAAGTGGAAAGCCATAGTAGAGAACAAGATAGATCTAAGGGTGAAGTGTCTAAGATTGGACAATGGTGGAGAATACGAGCTGGAAGAGTTCAAGAAGTTCTATGCTCTGAATGTGATTCGTTTGGAGAGGATTACTCCAGGGACACCGCAATAGAATGGTGTTGTAGAGAGGATGAATAGGATATTGACAGAGCGTGCGAGGAGCATGCGCTTACATGCAGGTTTACTTAAGATGTTTTGGGCGGACGCGGTGCATACAACAACTTATTTGGTTAATCATGGGCCACTACCCAGGTGGATCAGAGTATATGGATTTGGAGGAATTTCTAGATAGGGGAAATAGTGTTAGTTCTGACCAAAGAACGGAGGAGACTCCGGGTGCAGAGACCACTACCCAGGGCGTGGAGCTTAGGACGTCATCCGGGGTACCCAAACCGAATTCTAGATACTTTCATCACTAGATTATTTGCTTTTGACAGATAGCGGAGAACTAGAATGCTATGAGGATGCTATGCAAGTTAGTGAATCTCAACAGTGGGAGCAGGCAATGCAAGAAGAGATGGATTCTCTACACTCGAATGAGACATAGGAGTTAGCCCAGCTACCAGTACAGAAGAAAACCTTACATAACAAATAGGTCTACCGAGTCAAGCAGGAGAGTGATGACAACAAAAGATATAAGGCCAGATTAGTTGTGAAATGATTCCAACAGCGGGAAGAAGTAGACTATATGGAGATATTTTCTCCCGTTGTGAAGCTTACAACTATCAGAGTGGTGTTATGCTTAGTAGCTGTTGAAAATCTCTACATTGAGCAGTTAGATGTGAAGACTGTCTTTCTTCATGGTGACTTGGATGAAGAAATCTATATGAAGAAACCTGTTGGCTTTATAGATGAAGAAAAGGAAGAGATGGTGTGTAATCTCAAGAAGAGCTAGTACGGTTTGAAACAGGCTCCGAGGCAGTGGTATAAAAAGTTCGATAACTTAATGCAGAGCAATGGTTATGGAAGATGCAATTTATATCATTGTTGCTACTTAGAGAGGTTTGAGTCCAGCTATATTGTGTTATTATTGTATGTTGATGACATGTTAGTTACAGGACCATATTTAGAAGAGATAAATAAATTGAAGAAGAAGTTGGTAAAAGAGTTTGCTATGAAGGATCTGGGTGTTGTATAGCAAATTCTTGAGATGCAAATCAGTCGAGATGAAGCTAAATGAACGTTAAAGTTGAGTCATACTGAATACATCAAGAAGGTACTTCAGAGATTCAACATGGAGAATGCCAAACCCGCCGACACGCCCCTTAGAAGTCAATTCAAGTTATCTGAGGAGCATTACCCAAGATATATGCAAAGAAGGAGCACATGAGTAGAGTGCTATATTCATCAACCACTGGTAGTCTTATGTACACGATATTTTGCACGAGGTCAGATATCGCCCATTCAATGGGAGTTGTGAGCATGTTTGCAAGCAATCCAGGGAAGCATCATTGGGAGGTTTTGAAGTGGATATTGTGATACTTGTGAGGGACTACGGATATGCCATTGTGTTTTAGGAGGAAGAAACTAGTACTGTAAGGATACGTGGATGCAGATTTTACTAGTGATCATGAAACGAGGCGAAGTACCACGGGGTATATTTATACCTTAGCATCAACAGCAGTAAGCTGGGTCTCACGTTTGCAGAAGAAAGTAACATTGTCCTTGACTGAGGTAGAGTATGTCGCAGTGACTAAAGCCAGTAAGGAGATGATTTAGTTGACCGGTGCCTGGAAGAGATAGGTTTGAAGCATGTGAATGACGTTCTTTATTGTGATAGCCAGAGTGCTATACATCTTGCCAAGAATCTAATATATCATGCCATAACGAAGCACATCGATATATGTTCGTGGGAAAATTGAAGAAGAAATGAGAATAAAAATTTGTATTAATCTCCCTAACTGACTTAGGAAACGAATAAATACAGTCTCTCACTGTAATCCCTCTCTAACTGATTTAGAAAAAGAAATTATAACTCTTCTATATCGGTATCTCGATTTACAAAAGAAGGAAGGAATCGACGGAGATCCTCCTATTTGTTTAAAACTGGGTTCTTCTTGGTGTCGATGAGATCTTGAATCATGTATCTCATTGACGATCCGAACGCTTCGCCTCGTGGAACTTGGTTGATTCTTCTTGATGGGAAGAGCTTGCAATGCAAGTTTAAAACTCTCATGAGTTTAAGAACTCTGATCGAGTTGAAGAACTCGGTACGAGTTTAGAACTCTAAATGAGTTAAGGAACTCGGAACGAGTTTAGAACTCTATAAAAGAGTTAATTTAATCCAACCAAAATTTATTTACAAACCAAGAAAAAGCTCCAAGAGCAGCTCCTAAAGATCGCCGATCTTCTTAGGTGGTTTTTCGATCTCCAAAAGTTGATCTCCTTAAAGATCTCCTCCAAAACCCGCTCAAAAATCCCAAGATCCCAAAAAGATAAAAAAGATCCAATTTAAGCCAATTTTTAGCTATTTATAGTGGATTAAGGGGTGTAACTAACCCCTAAAATCACTCCTAAGTGGAATGTGATTCCCCCCAAATTATGGGAAACAGTTTCTAGAACCGTTCAACTCATATTTGAATGAGTCAAATGCAAGACTTTCATTTTGGGCATGAACTATGCGTTTTAAGTCTGGAACGTAAAGATGAGTTCTGTGTTTTGAGTCTGGAACGCAGAGATGAGCTCTGCGTTTTGGGTCTGGAACGTAGAGATGAGCTATGCATTTTGGGTTTAAGAGACCGTTAATTTGTAGTCTCTCTAGTTAGATCATTACAAAGGTTATGATCTTCATCTCGGCTCTTTGGAATGTGAGAGTCGTTAGTTATAACTCTTGTTGATCATTGTGAATACCGTTGAATCTGAACTTCCATTAGTTATTATGAAGGTCTTTGAATTATAACCTTCATTGATTATCGTGAAAGTCTCCAAATTGTAGTATTCTGGAAGTTGTTGAATTATAACTTTTATTATCAGTGCTTGATGGGAATCAGCCATTTGTAATAATTTTTAGATAGCCTACAAAATCCCCTCTAAAGTTTTTAAAAATTCGCGATTGGCTGGAATGAATTTTCGGAATACTTTGGATCCTAATTTTGATTTTGGATTGGTTGGATGATTGTTCATTACATCCACTTTGAAGATGTTGTGGACTTGATTACAAACACTAACCACACAAGATCAGTATGAAGGCACTTATCGTGGCCCTGTTTCTGAAGTTTGGAAATGGGCCTTGTTGCTTTGAAATGCGGAGATGAGTCTCACATTTAGAATATGAGAGACGACGACATCAGTGAGAGCCACAAGCCCAATACTAGCAGGTACTCCAACCTTGTATTTTGCGACTTTCTCACTAACTTCCTTTAGATCTCCTTTGGTAAAGATCAACCCAATATTTCTGACGAGCGATTGGAGGAAGTTAAGGTAGTTCTTGTTGCCTATGCTCTTACTATGAGACTTGATGTGATACCTGAAGGAGGTGTTCTTCCTCGTGAGAATCACTAAATCCCTACATAATCTCTTTCTGATCAGCATCGATGACTAGAACTTATCTGTACCCATCCAAGAGGCTGCATAGCTTATTGTCGTAGGTCAGTTTCTTCTTGGCTTTCGTCACCTTGATGACCATTGCTACTTTTTTTTAGTACTGAAGCCTGGCCTCTCATAGGTAACACATAAATCTAAGAAACCCAAATAAGCTTTTAAGTAACTGAAGCACCCTAAACCAAACAAGATAACTTTTTGGTACTAGAAGACAAAGAACTTAGTCGAACAAGCTAAAGCCTAAGTTATCATCATCCGGCATATTAGCGGGCTCATCTTTCTCCTCTTCCTTGGCAGCTAGAGCAACAACAAACTTGGTTGGATCATTGAGATACTCTTTTAATCTCTCAGTCTGTAGGAATGTGTATTCAGTATCAACAACAATAGCAAAGACATTCATTGATGAATATGTGAGGCGTAGCTACAAGAGTTGGGTAAGAGACAACCAAGGACTGCAAAGCCACCATAGAAACACCAGCTGCAAAATTTTAGAATTTTGAAATGCGAATGTGATCCGCACGTTTAAGTATTGAAATGCAGAAGTGAACCCAACGTTTAAAATTTAAAATGCAGAGGTGAACCATGTGTTTCAGGAGTCTAACCGACTCAGCGTGAACGCGAAAATCACGTTTTGGGCAGGATTTTTGCCTCAAATCCCGTGCTGATTTGACAGCTCCAACTATCTATAAATAGACCATCATGGTCAAATTAAGAGTCTTTTCAACTCTTCTGTTCTTCTCCGAGCTAATTAACAAGCTTTCTCGTTCCCAAACTCTGGTGAGCTCTTCGTTCATCTCCATCGATGAGTATTCATAGCTCCTAAGAAGGTCGTGTTTGGTGTGAAAATTGAAAGAAGAAAAATAGAGAATTGAATTTTTATTATTCTCTCTAACAAACTTAGAAAAAAATAAGTTACAATTCTCTCAATACAATCTCTCTCTAGCAAAATTAGATAAAGAAATTATAATCTTCTCAATCTGTTTCCTGGTTTACAAAAGAGAAAGAGATCGACGGAGATCCTTCCCTTTGTTTAACCTAGGTTCTTTTTGGTATCAATAGGCTTTCGATCTTGTATCCCGTTGATAATCTGAACATTTCACTTCACTGGAATACGATATCTTCTTCTTGATTGACATTGAGGAGAACTTGCATGGCAAGTTTAAAAATAACTCTTAACGAGTTTTAGAACTTAGAGTGAGTTTAAACTTTGTAAAAGAGTTGATTTGAACTGAAAATCGGTTTATAACTCTTAACGAGTTAATGAACTCAGAGCGAGTTGCAAACTCTGTAAAAGAGTTGAATTGATTTAACCAAAAATTAGTTTATAGCCAAGATCTTGCTCCAAAGCTACAGAATCTCCAAGGATGATCGCTCAAGATTGCCGAAGCTCCAGGATAACCGAAGATCTCCAAAAGCCTCTGCCAAAGCCCCTCTTTTCAAGATTGCCTCCTTTCCCCAGCTCTGATCCTCTCTTTTTAGTGATATTTGATGCAAAAAAGCTGATCAATTGGAGATCACGAACCCAGTTGAGTTTTTCGTCATTTATAGGGGATTAAAGGGTGTAACCGCCTCCTTAATTTGCTCCTAAGTGGCGGAGTGATCCCCTCAAATCATAGAAAACAGGTTTGAAACTATTCAGCTCTTGTTTGAATAAGTCAAACGCAAAATCTGCGTTCTGGTATGAACTCTGTGTTCTGGGATTGGAATGCAGAGTTGAGTTCCGCACTGGCGGCTAGAAACATAGTGGTGAGCCCTGCGTTTTGAATCTAAAACGCAGCCACGACCTCTGCGTTTTGAATCTGAAATACAGCCACGATCTCTGTACTTTGAATCTAAAATGCAGCCACGACCTCTACGTTTTGAATGTAAAACGTAATCACGACCTCTACATTTTGAATCTGGGATGCATAGGTGAGCTCTGTATCTTGATTTGAAGAGACTGTCAATTTGTAGTCTCTTTTACTAGAGCATTACAAAGACCATCATCTTGTAACATTCGTCTTAGTTCCTTGAAAATATGAGAGTCGTCAGATTGTAACTCCCAATGTTGATTATGAAGAATGTTGAATTAGAGCTTTTATTGGTTGTTGTGAAGGTCATCAGATTGTAATCTTTATTAATCTACGTGAAAGTTTTTAAATAGTAGCCTTCTAGAAGCGGTCAAATTGTAACTTTTATCATCGGTGTTCGATGGAGATCATCTATCTACAGTAATATTTAGATAGCCTATAGAACCCCCTCTAAAGTTTTTAAAAGTTCACGGTTGACTGGGATGAATTTTTAGAATACTTTGGATCATAACTTTGATCTTGGACCTATTGATTCATTATCATAAATAAGTTGTTCTATACACTCTCTTCGAAGGCATCTTGGTTGAAGGGATTTGCCACACAGGACCCGTGTGAGGATGAGCTTCAAAGAGAAATTGTAACGACGATACAAGCTTCTCATGAGCAAAAGCTCTCAAAGGTCACGTCACGGCTCACATCCACTCTGCTGATGGGCCCAAAAACATTCATAGGATTTTTAGCAAACCCTCAGCCATCGATGGATTTGATAAACCTTTACTGACTACCGTTTGAGTCAGGCTAGTATATGGATTGTCTAAATCTATTCTATATATAACGTTGTGCTAAAAGAATGAACTCTCTTAGACTTAGTGTTATGATATCGAATACATAAACTTTTTATCAATTTCACGGGAATGGACTATCCGCCAACGTGTGTTAGGCGTAAGTTTATCTCTAATTAGAAATCAAGATAAAGTCTCCCATCCATGAAAGGTATGGATTTTTGGTGCTACAATGTTGAATACGTAGACTTCGTCATTATTATGGAAATAGGCCACCGGACAATATGTGTTAGATGCAGACTTATCTCTAATTAGGAATCAAGATAAAGTCCTCATGCGTGTAAGGTATGGATTCTGGTGTTATTAATAACAACCTGCTATGATATTGAATACGTAGGCTTTTGTTATTTTTACAGGAAAAGACTAACCGACAACGCGTGTTAGGCGTAGACTTATCTCTAATTAGGGATCGAGATAAAGTCCCCCATGCTTGAAAGGTATGGATTCAAAGATTATTAATTTAATAATAATCATTGGCTATGATATTCAATACGTAAGCTCTGTCGCTATTATGTTTTCACTTGAAGCACTAAAAGAAAGTTGGAAGTACCAGAGGTGTAGTAATAGCTTTACATGAATTTTCACTTAGAGTAAAATTCAGAAATTTTCTTCATTATCACTAGGATAATTCTAGAAAATCTTTAATCTACTGGGAATTTCATAATAAAAACTTGCTATTCTTGTTGAAAAAGTATTAATAAGTTTATTGGGGGTTTGACTGTTAGAGGTGTGATGTTAACATAATAGTATTTTATAGGCCTATCGCTCTATTAAAGAGAGTTAATAAGTTAATTTGGTTGTCAGAGGTATGATGTTAACATGACGGGTTTGTGGACCTATCGCTCTATTGAAGAGAGTCGATAAGTTGATTGTCAGAGGTATTTTGTTAACATGATAAGATTGTGGACCTATCACTCTATTAAAGAGAGTCAATAAGTTGATTGTCAGAGGTGTAATGTTAACATGACGTCATCAGAGGTGTAATATTAATGTGATGAAAGGATTGGTTGTCAGCGGTGTGATATTATCGTGACAGAATTTGTTACAATCAGAGTTGTCGGCATTAAAAAATGCCAAAATTCGAAAGGTGAAAAGAAGGGTCAGGGAAACAAACCCCTTCTCAATCAGAAACGAAGTTCATCGTTTAGAAAAGATCAACCTCGAGAGCGAGGGTCGCCATGCAGCAAAACTCAACATTAAAAGATAAAGTTCATTATTAAATGAAAGAGATCTACGAGACTCGGAGCTCGTCATTGGATACGAGGTTCGAAGTTCGCTAGTGGATATGGAATCCGGAGATCGTCATTGAATACGAGGTTTGAAGTTCATTAGTGGATACAGGGTTTGAAGCTCGTCGTTGGACACGAGTTGAACTCTAGCTGCCAAAGACGAGGCTCGTCATTGGATACGAGGTTCGGAGTTCATCATCGGAGGTGAAGTTCATCAATGAAACCAAAGCTTGTCATCGGATTTAAAGCTCGTCAGTGAAAATGAAGCTCACGAGGCTCACCATGCAATAAGAACGAGGTTCGCCAACGCAGTGAAGTTCGTCATCCACATTAAATTAGGCTGTAATGGTCATGAAGACCCAGTCAGCCACGTGGGCTAGATTCCAGGAGTCAGTTACGCCACGACTCCACAAGTTCAGCACATCAGTTACGCCCACGACTCCACAATTATGGCACGTCGGTTACGTGCTCAAACTCCTATAAATAGCCATCGATGGCTACAGAGAAAGGGGTTGGTTGATTATCAATTAATTAGAGATTTTCAAGCTTGGACTGAGAGAAGCATCAGAAGCTCTTGTGATCTTGGTCTGATCGTCAACGGGAGGCAAGCTCGACTCAAGTATCGAGGGAAGCATCCTTTCGCTACCAAGAACCCACGTTAAACAAAGAGAAGCTGAATTATTCTTCTCTTCATCTGTAATCGAGAGAGAGTGTGAGTGATTGTAAGGGTTTCGTACCAAATGATCGAACCCATTTCTTAAAACAAGAAAATCAATCCCAACATCAAATTTTGGACCCTATAGAGGATGGCGACCACAGTGGGAGCAGCTATTCTCTCCGACGAGATGGTGGTGGCGCAATCAGACAAGATTATAGTGGGAACGGACGTCGAAACTCTGATCATCGAATTTGACCAGTCCAAATACGAGGAGTACCTCTCCTCTGGTAAGTCTAGTCCCACGAAGGCACGAAAGTGTCGTCGAGTCTTATATGAGACTTCAGACCAAGTGTCTTCTGATGATTCAACTCGAGTTAGTCTCGAGGAAAAGTCCAAGCCCCTCAAAGAGGAGGCTCCAGAAACTAGCCGTCAGGCTAAGAAATGGGTTGTTAAACAATCTAGCCAAACTTCAGCTTCTACCAGCTAAATTATGGCTTTGGATGATGAACCTCGCTCAGTTCTGACTGAAGCAAAGGTTTCTGTTACTCCATTATCGAGACGCGTTC